TTTTTCGAAACTCTTTCAAGTTTTGTTTGTATAAATTGCTGTGTTTCAATGTACATTTATGACTTTGAATACTGGCGTATTTTTTTAAAATACGTCTACGGTGATTATAAAGTTGTCTGGACTTTCGTGTCATCAATGTATTATTACTATGATACGAATTCAATGCACGCTGAATCATTTTCAATCGTATCGAATTATCAGTATAATATCTGTTCAAAACTTGACTTTTCATATTTTCTTTGTATTTGTTTCGAAAATCAGAATTAGTATGATATTTATTTAAGATATTCATATTTGATTGTGCTATAACTTTCTTTCGAAAATCAGAATTAGTATGATATTTATTTAAAACATTCACATTTGATTGTGCTATAACTTTGTTACGATAGTCTGTATTATTATGATATTTATTAAAAAGAATACATTTTGATCGTGCTTTAACTTTCTGACGAAAAATCATATCTCTATGATACTTATCAAAACAATGAATCTTTGAATGTGATTTCATCTTTTCACGAAAATTGAAATTATTATGATATTTCAAAGAAATACTACTATTTGTCCGAACCTTTTCTCTGTTACGAAAGTCATTGTTATTTTGATATTTATTTCGATAATATTTTCGTAAACGTTCAGACTGTTGTTCATGAAATAAAACATCACGACAATTGTTCCACTCACACCGTTTATTTCGACTACGAAGTTTTGTTATTAGCTCTTCATTACTAAGAATTTTTCTTGTTTCTTTTTGAGCTTTTCGATTTTTTGATTGTCTTTTTCGTTCATTATCTAAACGACAAACCTTTGATACAACTTTCTTAACAATATCCTGGACTATATTTAATTCATCAAATTGTTCATTCAATTGAGTTGAATCAGAACAGTTATCTTGTATTTTTAGCTTATTACCAAAACTAATACAATGTGAATCGATTAAGTCCATTTCTGATATGTCGAGTAATCTTGGCACACGTGAGACAGCTGAGACATTATGTTTGAAACTCGAAAATCTTTTGACAGCCTTTATGGTTAAAATTAAAATTCGCCATGAACGACTAACACGTGAATGAATTTGTTGTCGTCGTTTATAGGCTTCTTTTCGTGTTTTAACTTTTGATGAAATTGATTTTTTTCGGACCATATTTAATCTGATGAGAAAAGTTATTAAATAGTTCAAAGCAAATATTCAAAAAAAACGTTTTTCTTTGAGATTTAGCACGTGTATAAACGAATCACGGCTTAAACTCCTAAGAAGAAAAGCGAATATTATCTCCTAGCTTTACGAGATAATGAACAGAAAAGTTTCTTTCGAGCTAAATCTTCTTTACTACTAAGCGAAGATCTAGTCGATTCTGAGCAAGAAACTACAGAAAGCCGAAACTTAGTGGCTTTCTTTCAATCAAATTAAAATTGATTATATAATTTTCTTTTTAATTCTTCAACAATCCAAATTTTAGTTTATTTTTATTTATGATGCAATTATTACTATAACGAATATAATCTAAAATAAATTTATGAATGTTACAAAATCAAGAAGATAATATAAGGTAAAATATTTTTAAACACTAAATACAGTCATTAGAAAAAAAAAACAATTCTGTTTATTTAATTCATTCCTGTAGCCACTAATAAATTTATAACATCTTCGCATTAACACCTGAACTAATTTTATAATTCTTTTCTACTATCCAATGATTGCTATAATGAATTTTATCTGAAAACAAAAAAAAATTTCAGAATATTAAACAATCAACAAAATAATAAAAAGAAAAATATTTCCATATACTAAAAGAATGATTGAAAAACAATGGTATTATTCAAATATTGATATCATACGTCTTTGCGTTAACAGTTGAACTAGGTTTATAATTGTTTCTTACTATTCAATGATTGCTATCGTAAATATTATCTAAAAAAATTAATTTAAGAGCATCAGAATATTAATAAAATAATAAAAGGAAAAATATTTCCATATAGTAAAAAGAACATTTCAAACACTATTGTATTATCCGCCTTTGCGTTTACACTTGAACTAAGTTTATAATTCTTTTTTATTATCCAGTGATTGCAATCATAAAAGCTATCAAAAAAAAATAAACAAATTAAAGAATACTATATAACCAACAAAATAATGTTAAAAACAAAATTACATGTACTAATTATGATACATCTTTGTATTAACACTTGATATAACTTTATAACTTTTTTTACTATCTAAAGATTGCAATCATAAAGGTTATCGAAAAAACAAAATAAATTGAAGAATAGTAGATAACCAACAAAATAATATCAGGAAAAATGTTTCCATATACTAAAAAGAATGATCGAAAAACAATTGTATTGTTCAATTATTGATATGACACGTATTTGCGTTAACACTTGAATTAATTTTATAATCTTTTTTATTATTTAATGATAGCTGTTATAAAGGTTATCTAAAACAATAAAATAAATTTCAGAATATTAGAGAATCAACAAAATAATATAAGGAAAACCTTTCCATATACTAAAAGGAACTATTGAAAAACAAATGTATTATTCAATTATTGATATGATACATCTTTGCATTAACATTGGAACTAACTTCATAATTCGTTTTTTACTATCCAATAATTGCTGTCATAGAGCTTATCTAAAAAATTAAAAAAATTTAAGTATATTAGAGAATCAACAAAATAATATAACGAAAAATATTTCATATACTGAAAAGAACTATTGAAAAACAATTGTATTATCCAATTATTACCATCCTACGTCTTTGCATTAACGCTAAAACTAACTTTATAATTCTTTTATATTATCCAATGATTGATATCATAAGTGTTATCTAAAAAAAATAAATGTAAGAATATTAGATAACCAACAAAACAAAGTAAGAATAGCATGTCCATATATTAAAAACGACTATTGAAAAACGATTGTATTATGCAATTATTCCTATCGTACCTCTTTGCATTAATACTTGAAGTAATTTTATAATTCGTTTTTTTTTATTATCCAATAAATGTTATCTAAAAAAAATTTTAGAATATTACACAATCAATAAAGTAATATAAGAAAAACATTTCCACATAACCAACAAAAATTTCTTTCGAGCTAAATATTCTTTCCTACTTAGTGATGATGTAGTCAATTCTTGAAAACAAACTTTAAAAAACCGAAACTTAGTGACTTTCTTCCAAGCAATTAAAAATGATAATAAAATTTGTTTTTTTAATTCTTCAATAATTAAAATTTTAATTTACTTTTCTTTATGATGGAACTATTACCATAACGAATATAATCTAAAATGAATTTATTAACGTTACGAAATCATTAAGATAATATAAGATAAAATATTTTTATATATTAAATACAATAATTAGAAAAAAAAAGCAATTCTGTTCATTTAATTGATTCTTCAAACGACTGGAAACTTTATAATGTCTCTGTGTTAACACTTGGACTAAGTTTATATCTAAAAAACATAATTTAAGATTATTAAGCAATCAAAAAAATAATATAAGGAAAAACATTTCCATATACTAAAAAGAACTATTGAGAAACAATTGTATTATCCGATTATTCATATGATACGTCTTTGCATTAAAGCTTGAAATAAGTTTATAATTCTTTTATATTATCTGATGACTGATATCATAAATTTTATCTAAAAAAGAAAATAAATTTAAGTATATTAGATAACAAACAAAATAGTGTAAAAACAACACTTCCATATACTAAGAACAGTTATTGAAAAACAATTCTATTTTCCAATTATTCCTATCATACGTCTTCGCATTAACACTGAAATTAAGTTTATAATTCTTTTATATTATCCAATGATTGCTCTTATAAATGTTATCTAAAAAAAAATAAAAATAAATTTAAGAATATTAGATAACCAACAGTATAACGTGAAAGCATTTTTATAATCTTAAAAAAAATTGAAAAACAATTGTATTATCTAATTATTTCTCTGATAAATGTGATACTAAAAGAAAAACGAATTCAAGAATATTACGCAACCAACAAAACAATATCAGATAAAACATTAATATATGCTGTATACAACTATTGGAAAAAAAAGAAATTTCTCTGTCTAATTAAATCTAGACAACATTCAGAAGTGCATAACTATAGAGCCTCTATAATAACTTAGAATGAATTTTTCGAAAACAAGAAATATGCATTTTTGTAGAGGACTTTGGTTTAGCTGTTTTAATGATTCATTATGTGGAATCAGCTGTATCCACAGATGTTCGGCATATGAGAAAAGTAAATGGCGCCTAACTTTGTTTTATTATATTATTTTCGATTTTAATTATCTCAAAATGAAAAGGCAAATAAATAGTTTCATATTTGTCATTTTCGGAAGCTAATTATAACGAAATGAAGCATGTTGAAAACAATATTAATGTAAAAGTGACAAGTTCGCTCTCGATAGGCTGGCTTTACGTTTAAACAAGTGTTTTGTGAGTTTCCATTCTCGAGATCATTGCGTCACAAAATGACAAGTTTGATGCGTACGTATAGTAAAAAAGAAAGAAAAACTAGACGGTATTCGAGCTTCGCCTCGAATACGAAATGCGGTGCGAAGCACACGGGCCGAGAATCCGAAAAACGAATTTCGAATCGAAATGGAATTATCGAACAGCTGATATGACTGAGATCGGATATGAAAGGCATCCATTATGAAATCGATCACTTGAGAAACTCTACTAAAGCATATCGACAGACTTCTAGAAAGTGTTGTTTATTGATCGATTAATTATCTCAATGATTCATTATCTACTGTCAGCTGTATTCACAGCTGTTCGACATATGAGAAAATTAAGTGGCGCCTAACGTTCTTTTATTTTTTCGATTTTAATTATCTCAAAACGAAAAGGCGAATATACAGTTTCATATTTGTCATTTTCGGAAGCTAATTATAACGAAATGAAGCATCTTAAGAACAATATTAATACAAAAGTTATAAGTTCGATCTTGATACTTTGCTTTTGCGTTTAAACGAGTGTTTTGTGAGTTTCCATTCTCGAGATCATTGCGTCAAAAAATGACAAGTTTGATGCGTATGTATAGTAAAAAAGAAAGAAAAAAAAAAACTAGATGGTATTCGAGTTTTGACTCGAATACGAAATGCGGTGCGAAGCACGAACCTCGAGTTCTGGAAATAAAACGATGTTTCGTAAAAAACGAAAAATCGATTGTCGGATCAATGGCGATCGTTGTTTCTGGTGAAGTTGTTTACGTACTGCCGCGTGTTGACGCTTCTCTGGGTCGTTCAAAATCGAAAAGTTACTTTTCCCTCAATCAGATGATTTAAATCGAAAACAAGTTGAAAAGCAGCCATAATGAATTTCATCACTACGATAACTCTGTAAAAGCGTATCAACATGTTTCTAAAGAAGGCCGCTGATTGATAATTTAATTATCTAAGTGATTCATTATGTGTAATCAGCTGTATTCACAGCTGTCTCGCATATGAAGAAAGAGAGTGGCGCCTAACTTTTCTTTTTCTTTTCATTTTAATTATCTCGAATATAAAATCTTTCAAATTCGTCTTTTTCCTAAATTATTTATAATCCAACCACCCTTTCTAGTAAAAATCAGAAAATGGATGTTACCGGTTCGATCTCGATACTTTCATTTCACGCTTCAACGGATTTTTTCTCATTTTCCGTTCTTGAGATCATCGCGTCACAAAATAACTGCTTTCGATGCGTACGTCAAGTAAGTAAGGAAAAAAGAAAACTCGCGAAGGACTACATAAATGCAGTGCTTCGCACCGCATTAAAAACTCGCGACGGACTACATAAATGCTGTGCTTCGCACCGCATTAAAAAGTAAAAAAAAAAACTCGCGCACGACTACATAAATGCTGCGCTTCGCACCGCATTAAAAAAAAAACTAGATGGTATTCGAGCTTCGCTTCGAATACGAAATGCGGTGCGAAGCACACGCATCGAGAATTCGAATAACGAATTTCGAATCGAATCCGAATTAGCGAACAGCTGATATGGCTGCGATCGGACATGAAAGGCATCTATTATGAAATTGATCACCGGAGAAATTCTACTAAAGCGTATCGACAGACTTCTAGAAACTGTTGTTTATTGATCGATTAATTATCTCAATGATTCATTATCTATAGTCAGCTGTATTCACAGCTGTTCGACATATAAGAAAATTAAGTGGCGCCTAACTTTGTTTTTTTTTTCGATTTTAATTATCTCAAAACGAAAAGGCGAATAAACAGTTTCATATTTGTCATTTTCGGAAGCTAATTATAACGACATGAAGCATCTTGAGAACAATATTAATACAAAAGTTATAAGTTCGATCTCGATACTTTTCTTTTGCGTTTAAACGAGTGTTTTGTGAGTTTCCATTCTCGAGATCATCGCGTCAAAAAGTGACGAGATATCATGCGTACGTCAATCAAGTAAAAAAGAAATAAAAAAAAAAACTCGCGACGGACTACATAAATGCTGTGCTTCGCACCGCATTAAAAAATTGATTTTAATATGATTTTAGTTACTTTCTCATTACACGGAGGGTGCACATGGAATTCAGACAGGAGAAAAAAATAAAATTATTATCTCATTGAAATATGAATAAATAATTTGGAAACAGTAAAATCTTAATGGGCAAGGACTTCCTTATAAAAGTTTCAATAGGCAAACCTCCAAATGAAATAGGCAATTGCCCATTTGTCTTCCCCTGGTTACGCTACTGTATACGGACCATTTTTAATACGAAATGTAAATTTCTCGGATATCTAGTACTTCTAAATGAGCTCGTTTGAAGTTAAAATATTGAAAAACTTGTCTTGTTTGCTTTGAATTACCTAATAGGAGTATCAGATGAGCATTTGCATTTGCTGAGAGTAATACTAATTTGATATCCCAATTACAAAAAATTTTACTGGTAGTGTTCTTGTGATCATTCTCATCAATCTTAGCATAAATTAATCTAATTTCATCCACACATTAAACAAATAAATGTCTGAATAAATTAATGATTGAAAAAAGAATTAGATGAAATATAAGATATGACCGACAAAACTCGTATAGTGTCGCATTACAATATTTTCAAATAGCTCCAGTCATTGTCAAAAATTTTATTAGCATTCTAATCCTTTCTATTCAATTGACAGACTTGATAAGATTTGCAGCATATACCAGGACTTATTGGGATTTTTCAGTACGTCCATATATATTTTGAGATAAATCTCAAACAATTCTTCGGTACATGCGTGCATATCTATAGTGTGTATGCGCAGAGATACTAACACACTCGATAAATCCCAATAAATCACGGAATACCTTCCATTTGAACAAACTTTTAGATACTTAAAATGATTTTAGAACAATTTGGTATTTTAAGTAGGGATATACAGTTCACACTTACAATAAGTGTGAACAGAAACTGTTAGCCGATGTTAATTGTGATTATGAGAGAAAATCATCCTTTCGTACTAATGATGACTATATGTGAAAACCGTTCCTTCACAATAACTGTACTTATTAACTTTAAAACCTGAATCTGATTCGCTTCCTTTATTTAACGATGATTATGAGCTGTACAACCTAATTTTAAGACAAAAACCTCTATTGTTTTCCTTTCGAAATATTTCTTTCAATTTATCATAAGTTCATTTATTCATTCATTATAAAGTCTCTATAAATCAGTGACGGATCCAGGAATTTTTTGACGGGGGGTAATTTTGGTCAGAAGGCATAGTTGTAACCTCGTTCAAGGCACCAACAACTCTGTTTTGGATCTTTTCTGCTGGAAAAAATCGAAAATTCTTTTTATGAACAGGGGGCGATCCCCCTGCTATAAACCATTGCGAAAATATTCAAAAAAAAAATATTTACCTGTATAAATTGTGATATGACAAACCTTAGGACATAATTTATTGAATTGTTCGAAAAATGCATAAACAGATGGATCAATACTGATTCGAATATGCGCGAGATCTGACAAATCATATGATATACAATGATAATTACTAAATAAACAAGAATAATTCAATGAAAAAGTTTAAAAAGCAAAAAAAAAGTATTTTACAATAAATGATCAAAGCATTGATATTTATCAAGAATAGAAGAAAATATATGTTGATATGATGCACCTTCATTATAAAAACATTTCACATTTGTCCATTGATGGGAAATAAAAAAAGAGTTGCTTTTAAAAGAATTTATTATTTTTTCAATATCATATGATGATAATTGACAATTTGCACGAATATAAAAACGAAAATCTTGTAAATTAACTATTTGATCAGGTAAACAATATTGGCGAATAAAATTTGCATCAATTAAAGATTTCCATATCATTTGATCTGATCTCCATACAGCTCTACTACGTAAATCAATTTGAAGTTTTTTAACATAATTAATATTATTAAGAAGCCATTTTAAACAAACAAATTCGAAGTCATTGACAACAGCACTCTTCAATATAAAATATTCCAATTTTGGTACCTATTTTTCAAACAATCAATCACAATTTTAAAAATTATAAATTTATATCAATAGAAAACTAATAACTCGAAATAATCAATCTACATAAGTTCCAATTTTCCAAAAATTAGTGACCATCATCATCTTCTACATACCCCTATTTTCTGCTCATTTTCTTAACGAAATTTTTCATATGAATAGTACGAACATAGTAAATCACAAAAAAGCATCATCACGAATTTTAGTATTAACACAAAATCAATAGCTTTACAAGTGCATTACTTTTAAACAGCAAAAAAATCAATATTATCATCAAACATATTGATTTGAATGAAAAAATTACCAATATAGACTTCAACAATCTAACATATATAATTTGAATATTGACTGTTCATCGTTCTTAAACTATGTTATACAAAAATATAATCTAACTATCTTATATATTATAGTTCAAGCGAGAAAGTGTAATTCGACTCTCACTTAATCAGTAACGGGTGCGGCAGAAATAATTGCCGGCTTTTGTATTTTATTTTTTCATCATCTAGTACGTTTTATTTAAAAACAAAATATACCACAAGATAGAGCGTGAAAAGCTCTACAACTTACATAAGACCACTTATTTTATAGTTTCAATTTTTGTTTTCAAAAAGAACAAAGTTTTGAGTGAGCAAATATCGACGCTGCTCAAAGATCATTTATTCTTATCTCATGTTATCTTATCTTTTTATCACCTAAGATGCCTTACATAAAAAACCAAAATATACCAGGAGATGCAGCGTGAAAAGCTCTACAATCTACAAAGTAAAACTTATTTTAATTCTGTTGTTTTTGTTCTCAAAAAAAAAAATCAAAATTCTATGCGACCAATTTTCGACGCTGCTCAAAGATCATTTTTTTCCAACAGGAACAAGAAATAATTTTTTTTTTGTTTCATCTTTTTATCAACTAATTTTTTTCGTAAAAAAAATAAAATATACCATAAGATACAGCATGCAAAGCTCTACAATTTACAAAGAACAATTTATTTAAATAAGAAAAAAGAATTTCTCTTTCAAGTCGAAAGAATGAATTTTTCGCAATGCCAAATATTGGTCGCACGGAATTTTGCTTTTTTCTTTCAGAACAAAAACAACAGAATTAAAATAAGTTTTACTTTGTAGATTGTAGAGCTTTCCACGCTGCATCTCCTGGTTTATTTTATTTTTTTTAACGAAAACATTAGTTGATAAAGAGACGAAATAGGAAAAAAATTATTTCTTGTTCTCGTGGAAAACGGTGATCTTTGAGCAGCGTCGATATTTGCTCACTCAAAACTTTGTTCATTTTGAAAACAAAAATTGAAGATATAAAATAAGTGGTCTTATGTAAGTTGTAGAGCTTTTCACGCTCTACCTTGTGGTATATTTTGTTTTTAAATAAAACGTACTAGATGATGAAAAAATAAAATACAAAAGCCGGCAATTATTTCTGCCGCACCCGTTATTTTATTACTAGAGGTTTAACAGTACTACAGGCTTCGATTGAAATAGCTGAATTATCTATATTTTTCTTACTGATTGCATCTCCACAATCGCAAATTGATCGAAATATACGACAACTCAAGTGAACAACATTATTAACTAATCCATAAATGAAATACGAAAACATATTATCATAATCTATTTTAACTAAGCACTCATGGAACTTTGTCAAAGATTCATTTTGCATTCATACAATCCCAAACATTTTATGAACATTTTCGAAAAGTTCTCGCTTATACTTTCTCACACTATTCCTTATTGACAGAATAATTCCACGATAACTACTCAATATTCAATTTCATATTCGAATTCAATATTGAAATTTAATAAATTCTAGTAAATTTCAATATTTTTATTGATTCATTGTGGGATTTATCAGTAACTCATCTACTACGTAGCCAAATAGGAGGCGCCCATCCGAAAAATGAAGCCTACATAATACGCTGAGGTTTATTCGAATTTGCTCAGATTTGCATTATCTTCCTTCACTTGAATATGGAAATATCATATAAGCTTTAAACAAAAAAAAAAAGAATCGTATTCCTTATTTTATCGTCGTCTGCTGATCACATTTTCTGAGATTTTTCTCATATCTTTACTGATTTTTCTTGTGCCTTATTTGTTAATTAGATAGAAGTTCTATTTACTTTTTCCGATATGTATCGCAAGATAAGTATTATACGATTGTTGTTTCTATCTTGTATATCTCATTTACCAATAACATACTTTCACTATTATTCATTTCTGTGCAACAGTTGATATCTACTGTTGCTTTAAAATAATAATCGATACTAAAAAGTGATTATATCTATGACAAGTATAAAATATTAATTTACAAGATCAGTACTAACAAATTTCTTACACATGACACATGCTAACTTGTAACATTCAATTATCTAATTCAAAGTCTGATGTCTTATATTTAAAATAATAAAATCTAAACATCAAAATAGAATACGACGCGAATACTCTTTAAATGGATGAAAATTTCGTTTTATTCTTATCAGATACAATGAATTTCCAGAATGTTTTTCTCATTTATGTTATTCTAAATCCATAAATGAAAAATTCTCTTCTTAACAAATTCGATAAAATAATAGAAATATTCTTCTCTGAATTTGTGACAATCTTCTTCATTAATGTATTTAAAGTGGTATAGTGTAAAAATCCCGAAAAAAGAAATCTCGAAAAAGATCGACAGAACAAATAACGCCGAAAATAAAAATTGCGAAAAATCAAAATCTCGAAAATTTGAAATTTCAAAAAATCTGCATTAGGAAATGGAAGATGAAGATTAGTGTAAGAATGAGACTGAAGGCGAGAGTGATGTGAGAGTAATGATGAAAGTATGAGGGTGAGGAGAAGGATGGATGGACATGTCGATAGTCTAAATTTTTATTTTCGATATTATTTTCGGGATTTTGTTTTTTCGATATTTTGCGTTTCGAGATTTTTTCCGACTTTTTTTTTATTTCGAGCTCTTTGTTTTCGGAGTTTTTACAGCAACTCAGAAAATAAGATTTATCAAAAGATTTATTCGTACGACTTCCGGATAAAATAATATCTTACTTTATTAAACCAATTTCCCCTTGATAAGATGAATGTTTGAATGTTTGAACCAAAAGAAACATTGGTCAATGAACTTCGTAAATAAACTGATATTTGTTCAATATTCGGAATATGATCAATGAGATGTTCTAGGAAAGAAATATCATCAAGGTAGATGCACAAACGATGTAGAGTCAAACAAAATAATTGATGTTGATTACGAATTGTGTTTGATTGAAAATCAGAATTGGAATTTAAACATTGATCGATATTGTCAAACGATGTGATTATATCCAGTTCCAAAGAAGTTAACTTACATTGATTAGAAAATATTCGACATAATAGATGTTTAAACATATTGGGCATTGTCTCTGTTTAATAATAATAATAAAAACAATATTTAGTTTTATAATAAATATTTCATATAAAATTCTGTTTTTTTCCATCAAATACATTTTATTCTCTTTTTAAGCGGGTTACTGGAACTTCACCAATAAAATTTTCGCCAATAGGACATTTGTAAATGGTGAAAGTCCAGGGATATATTGAAGAAAGTTCACTGTGCTTTCGTCAAGTGTTGAATTTCCGGTGGGTGCATTGGCAAAAGTACAGCAGACTTTTGCCAATTGCTACAAAACAATATTAACATAGGATGTATGTGAGTTTAATTCATAATACAATTGGCGAAATTCCACGAGAGATGTTGGCGAAAGTACAGTAAACTTTCGCCAACTGGCGACATTCCAGTGGGTGTATTGGTGAGAGTATAGTGGAGTTTCGCCACTGGCGAAACTGCTATTTGATGAAAGTCTTATTGGCGAAGATCCGAAATCCCTTTTAAGCACTAGCATTCTGATTTTTGTTTTCAATCACGAACTAATACGAGAATTTAACAATATATTATTAATTCCTTTTTGAATATAAAAGATGTTACGATTTTCTATGAATATAATATTCGGTCGTTAAAAATTTTATTTTATTTTTCGAATTTGAAAAATAATGAACTAAATAAACATGCATAATTCTATTATATACAGAAGCCTAGATTCTACATTTATTGAATTTGTTTTTTTACATTGTGAATGTTAATATTATTGAAACCTTATTATTTGAAATTCTCCTCCGAATTTATGAACATATTTACAATATATTTAAAAAAATTAATATGAAAAATATTTACCACTAAATTCAAATTAATCGAAAAATTAATTATCTTTGTCTTACTCATATTGATTAGAATCTATTTTTCACCATTTTGAAAATGATTCCTCTATTTATTGACCAGTAAACTTAATCTAGTCACTAAAATATCTCATAGCAATATTACTCCCAAAGGACCTGTAATCGTGATTGATTTTTCATTTTATTTTTCGATGCTCTACCAGCAAAAGTGAGTTCGTCATAAAACAATTTATTTGTTTAAAATTTACATTATTTGCTATTGACAAAGTTGATAATCAATGTCTTATGCGAGTTATTTGCTTTTAATTTAGCAAATTCCATTTTGGATAGGATAAACAAATAGTTTCCAAAAAGATCTAAACTTGTCTTTCGCTAGAACCCTTTGCGTCCTCGTCTAAAAATTTCCCGTTGAATAGGTCCGCATCTTAAGAATTTTGTCTGAACTAATTCCGGATGCTAGTTCACAAACAACACATTGAAACAAAAAGTCAATCACAACTGGATTCTTATAAGATCATTGTCAAGAATGATTGAAAAAACTTCAAATTATGTTTCTGACCGACTATCTAATACGAAGTGAAAACTTTATTGAGTATCACGAGTAGAATTCGAGACTAGTTCGGATCCGAAATTTTTGAACTCTATGAGCTCCATCTTGGATTATCATATCGAATAAGATATATCAGTAAATTTATGGCTTATCCTTGGCTTTATATCTTTACACTAAATAAAGTTTAACTTCTCATGTTAAAATATGTTTTTGTTAAGAAACATTTTCATATAAATTGTTGATTACCTTGATCAGAACTGATTGATGGGGCTTCTTTTCTATAATTAGATGTGGTGTAATCATCTTCACAAAATGTTAATGTAAGATGTTCTAATTTCAATTGAATAAGAAAACATAACAGTTGAATTAATGGTTGAGATAATAAGCATTGACTAATATAAAGTGATTTAAGATTAGGAAAGCAAACAATTGGTTTATTATCATGGTAAAAAATATTTTCATAAATAGAATCAAAAGAAAATGAATTAATTCCATCAAAATGAATGGATTTAATAGATGATAAAAGTGATGACGCATTTAATATCAATGATAAAGTTTTCGAAAACTTTTTATAAGATAAACCTGGCTTATTTAAAATAATTCCTTTTTTATTACTTATTGAAAACATTGAACAAATAAGAGAATTAATACGTTTATTTAATGACCAGAATGATATTAAGATTTCATCCCATGATAAATAAAAGAATACATTCAAAAGTGTTTCATTCGGAAGTATTTCCAATTTACTTATCATATTATCTAAAAAAAATAATAACCACTATTTACTAGATAAATATAAAACAATATGTTCTCCAAACTTTTTTTATGCTTATTTCTAATATTTAATCAATCTTAAAATTCAAAAACCTAAACGAAATGAGAGAAATTTTAACCAATGCTCTCTATAGTATAACCACGTCAAAAGTTCATAACTCACGTATACATATAAAAAACATTTCCATGAAAATATGAAGAACCTTTTATCAGAAGTGTTAGAATTGCTCTTTTCTAACATTATAACAACTACTACCAAGCACGACTATCGAAGAGTCATCCGAATCAAAAATTTTATTCAAAGATTTTTCCTCATATGATAATACTAGCGGAAAAATTTCTATTTCCAGCTTCTACGAAATGGATCAACGACGAATCTAAAACACTAGAAAAGACAAGTTGTCATAAAGGCATATATTTTTTTGTACACCTATTCAACGGAATGTTAATCTTTTTGCTGAAATATATCGACAAACAAAACAAATATCTTCAGCTGTGCCTAAATATTCGGCAATGCTAAAAAAATATTCTGTTACTAGATATGTGCAGAATGGTTCAAGTTCTAGCGGGACCGGGATCGAAATTCTTTTTTTGCCGGGACCGGGACCAAAAACGGCTGGTCCCGCTCATGTCTAACTGTTACTATAATAAACTCAAAGTGTTATCATTTTAAATGATATATTTATAGAAAAGGTCTTCAATATATACTAGATTGAAAATATTGGATTAAAATATCAGATAGTCAAACTTTCCATTAAATTATTAATTGAATTATGCAAATAAAAATAAATACGTTTTGATAGCAATAAAATTTGAATTAGCTTGAAGTTATCAAGCTAAATTAAGAGAAAATATTTTCAATGAAAAGTATTTAAATAAATAGTGAACTTTTTTTATACAAAAAAAATGACAATAACAGACCTTTTGGTACATGTTAAGAAGAAGCACACCCTCAATATATGTATATATAAAGAAAGAAAGCAAAATTTATTGGCTAATTAGCACACCAGTATTAAGAATTCTTAATATTAGTGTGCTAATTAGCCAATAAATTTTGTTTTCTTTCTTTCTTTCTTTATATATACATATATTGAGGGTGTGCTTCTTCTTAACATGTACCGACCTTTTGTTTTCTTTTATATCGTTAATATTAAACAAAAGAAAAAGATTAATTGTATTACATTATGCTCAATATACATATCGTATCATTCAGCTTGTTTCGCACAAAAAATGTCCATCGCTATTTATATGTTTCTCACAAAATGAATTTATTCGACAAAAAATCATTCATATCTGACGAGCATGACGAAGGCATTTATTGACAATATTTTTTACTGTGCATCCGCATCTTTAGGCCTCGAACACACTAGACGAATTAAAAGCTACTTAGGGCAATCCAAAAGTAGTGGCAGTAGTACTTTTATTCCTTATAAAAAGCTTTAAGAGACTTTCTTTGTATATAGTCTGATCGAGAAAAGAATGCTCTATTTTTCTATGCTATTTGATCATACTTCAACTAATAT